GTTAAAAAGACACTTGGACACTAGTGACTAAACCAGAGGATAAAGCAATTCTAGATGTGAAGTGGGTATTCAAAAGAAAACCAGGTAATGTTTTTAAAGCTAGATTAGTGGTTCGAGGTTTCCAGTAAAAAGATAGTATTGAGGATACTTACTCCCTGTCATTAAGATGCAAACCTTAAAATTGTTACTTTCATATTCTTCTCAGTATAATTTAAATATTCATCAAATTGGATGTTGAGACTGCCTTTTTAAATGGCTTATGTTGTGTCTAAGGTTTTTATTAAACAACCACAAGGCTATAATGATAATTCGAATAGAGTGTATAAATTAAAAAAAGCACTATATGGGTTGAAAGAAAGCCCTCGTGCTTGGTATGAGTGTTTTAACGAGTATATTGAGAGTCTAGGATTTTGTAGAAGTAAATATGATTATTGTCTGTATGTAAAATCTGAAAATGATGTATTTGTATATATTCTTTTATTTGTTGATGATTTGTTGAAATATGTTGCAAAGATACTCAAGTAATTGATGATATTAAGGATATAAGCAACCTTCCTATTAAGGAACAACTACATAATAAATTTAAAATGAAGGATTTAAATAAAGTAAAAAGCTACATTGGAATTGATATTGAATATGATAATGAGAAAAGTAGTATCTTAACACTGAGTCAGGAAAAATTATATTGAATCTTTAGCTAAACTGTATGGTATTGAAAATTCAAAGCTTTATGATACACCAATGGAGACTAATCTAAAACTAAGCCAATCTAATTTAAATCAAAATGTTAAATATAGAAATATAATAGGAGCACTCTTGTATATTAGTCATAGTACTAGACCAGACATATCTTTCAGTGTAAATTATTTAAGTAGATTTCAAAATTGTTATGATGAGACACATTTCAAATATGCTTTGAGAGTTTTAAAGTATTTGTATTTAACAAAACATCTAAAATTAACCTATAGTAAAAATCTTAAAACTGATATTATGAATTGTTATGTTGATGCTGATTGGGCAGGTGGTATTGTTGACAGAAAGTCAACTACTGGGTTTGTTATTGAATTATTTGGCAATCCAATTTATTGGAAATCCGAAAAAGCAAAATTGTGTGACAAAATCTTCCACATTTGCTGAATATATTGCTCTATCTGAGGCTGTGACAGAAATTAATTTTTTAAAAAAATGTTGTGAATGATGTTTTTGCTGATTTAACTCATTTAAAATTTATGAAGATAATTAAGGAGCTTTGGCTATTGCTAAGTATGGGAACTTCACTAAAAATTCAAAACACATAGAAGTTCAATATCATTATGTACATGAAAATGTTCAAAATGGAGTAACTGAAATTGTAAAGATTGATTCAGAATCAAATATTGCAGATATCTTTACTAAGTCTGTAGGAAAGATTAAAATTTATGAAACAGAGAAAAGGTTTGAAATTGAACTAAATTTTGTATGCTGTTTAAGTGATGTTTATTTAAATATTTTTGCTTAAGATGAAATAGATTTTGGTAACGTCCTTATGTAAACTAAATTGTATTTAACTTTGATTTTAACATTTAAGTTAATGAAAGAAACTTTTTTTTAAAAATAATTTGTGTTAAATGTTGAATGTTATTGTTTATATCTATGCTTAAGTGTAATTGGTAAAGATGAAAAGGGTGCTTATATCTATGTTTATTTGTAATTAGTAAATATAAATGTAAGGAGGCTTGTTAGTTTGGTACATTTATCTTTACCTTGTTGGCAACACCGAGTTTCTTCACTGCGTATGAACTGTAATGTTAAGCACATGTTGTTAAGTTTCAATAAAAAATGTGAAAAGATACGTTTCTTAATTTTCAACTTGTTTCTTGATATGATATCGGTTTATTTAACAAGAACAAAGTCCCAAATTTTAATAATTTTTTTTTCTCTCAAAATGTGAGAAAAAAATAATAACTGTAATAACAGTTAATTTATATCTCTGTTGAAAACAAAGTTTGGAATATTGAGATCAATTTAGGTTACATTGAAAGTGAAATGTTATGAGTGTGTGATTACCCCCTGCTTATTCATAACTGTTTCTAAATGCTTATTCATAACTGTTTTTGCACTGCATTGTATCAGTGCCACTGACATTTTCTTTTATTGTAAATCATACAGTAGTTATAATTATATGATAGTTATTTGCTGTATAGTATCAAATACTGTATTTAATTTTTAATTTATAAAAAGACAATTAAATTTAGCATTTGTCAGATTTGTACATGTCATGAATTTCATCTTTTCTATCAATATTCTAATATATTAATAAATTTATGCATTCAATATAAAAAGGCTCTTAAACTTCACAATACTTTCATTTATACAAAACATTTTCAATAATAGTATATTCCTATTAGGATTATTAAATTTATATTCCTATTAGGAATATTAAATTTGAATTAACCATTAAGTTAATTAAGATACAGTAAGACCCCGCTTAACGCTGTTTCGTTTAGCGCTGTTTCGGTTTAGCGCTCTTTTATTTCAACCCGGGGATTCCACAAAATCGCTCGCAGCATACGGGGATTCCCCGAAATATTATGCAGTGATAGGTTCAAATACATATCCGAAAGAGTGTACTTGTATTTCTTGTTTGGTGCAGTATTGTACAGACATATTTTGAAGGGGTAAATGTGGAAGATGTCAAAGAAATAATTCAAGAAGCAGCGGCTAGTCTTTCTAATGATGAGCTCAAGGAATTAACTGAACAAGAAGAAAACAAAAATGTTGACAGCAGTGATTCAGAAGAAGAGCAAAAAGAACTTTCGATGGCGTTTGTAAAAAGGAGTTTGTCTACCATAACTGAAATAATGGATCAATTCATTGAAAATGATCCGAATTTTGACAGGAGCTCAAAAGTAAGGCGTGGTGTTAGAGATGCTCTATCCATTTATGAAGAACTTTTAAGAGAACAACGCAAAAAAAAAAAAGGCAAACAACATTAAATGCTTTTGTTACAAAAAAGGCAGAACACTGAAAACGCGGAAGGCTAACTAAATATGACTGACTTAGAATTTTATTTGTTTTTTTTTTAAGAATATTCGTTTTGTTATTTATATTTTGTTTTTATTTTTGCAAGAAATAATAATGTGGTATTAATTTAGGCTTTAAGAAATAAATGTTTGGTTTTATTTTTATTAAAAAAACATACTTTTAAAATTTAATACCTAACCAATTTCCTAACCATCTTCCCTGAACCCCAATATTTACATGTAAAGATAGCCTCGTTTAGCGCTGTTTCGCATTACGCTCTACTTTGATGGAACGTATCCCCCGCGTTAAGCGAGGTCTTACTGTACAACAACACACTGAACAAATATTAATTTAGAAGTCAAACAGCAAAAGTTAACAATAAATTGAAAATTTAAATTAATTGTATAATTTGAAAATATAACGCTGGTTTTTGGCGTTTGACTTCTAAATTAATAATTTGAAAATATAACGCTGATTTTTGTTGTTTGACTTCTAAATTAACCATTAAGTTGCCTCAAATGAAAGAAGTTGCATTTTTCAGATTTAATGCAAAAACTAGAAATAATCAAGAAAGAAAAGTTAAATACTAAAATTGGCCCCAAACTACAAGTTTTGTATCAAATAGTTAGCTGATTTGTCACTGGAGGGAGGGGGAAGGAACCTTCTTAAGCCAAATTTAAAAATTTTTGTCCAGTCACCAAATGATAATGAAGTGAACCTTATAACTCTGTAAACACAATTTGTTATATATAAAAAAAATACATATTATTTATTGCAATATGCCGTTTATTATTATTGTGGGTCAAGACCACATCTGAAGTACCTTGTTGTGTGACTTGTCAAGATTTAGGACATGAAAATAAGTACCAATCTGTTGACTGGATAGATGTAAAGAATTACTTCTTAACTGAAGCAAGAGAATAGTTTTTCCAAGTTAATGGTTTTCAGAATTTGCAGATAAAGATAAAAGCTGTTTTTAAGTAATTGTTTAAAAAATATTTATGTTAATATTCTTGATACTAGTACGTTAAAACCTGTGAGTTTGGAATTTATAGATTCTGTTTTTAAAAGCATGCCCCTGGTTTTTAAAATATTATTGTGATTTGTGTAATTTTACCTTTTTATCCTTAACTTTAGCACTTGAAAAGTGAGAAATATAACTTAATAGTAATAGTTCTGAGGAAAGGTTGTGAAAAAAATACATGTCTTACAGAAATACCCTTTTTCAGTTTTTCATTGCTAATTATTACTTTAATTCTATTTTATTTTTTATTTATTTATATCCCCTCAGTTATTTAATTTAAATCTGCAAATATTGTATTACAAATAAAGACATTAATTGACAAAATTTTAAAATTGAGAAAATCATAGACTGCATCTGCAGTGAGCATAGACCATAACACAAACATCAAAAATGAATTCAAATAGGATGCCATCAAACTGTAACAACTTTTATGTTTCCACAGAACAGTCACAAATATAAGAATGTACTTTCCTTCTTTATTTAGCATAAAGATATATTCTCCCATTTTTATTAAAGCCTCGCAGGGTTATTCTTCAAGGATGTTGCCATTATATATGTGTCCAGTTTCTCCATTTATCTTCATAGGAGAGGAATAGGATGAGCAGCTTTAGCTAGAATGAGTTTGGAGAATTGAATGAATAGCCTTGAAATGGATGTGAAAAAATAGCAACATGAGAAATTCTAGAAAATGGTCAAATATGTAGCTATTAAATTCAAGGAATAAGTTAAACCTTATGCAAACAAATCAAAAATTCTTAATTTATATTCCGAAATAGCTAGGGAAGAAATGCACAAGTAAGTATGATATTCAATTTGACTATGAAAAATTTAGTTTTAGAGGCCTTGTAGTAATTTCTGAGATTGCTAAGCAAATAATGAATTGTTTATATAGTAGTACTCAGCATTTTTTAAAATTCACTTTATGCTTATTATTTGTTATGTATTTAAATGTATCTTTTGTATATAATTTTAGGTACAGCTATTATGATGATGTGACTTATCATTCTGTTTCTGATGTGCTGGAAATTTTTAAAGTAGCCAAAATATTTGACGTAGAACCCATGGCCAACCAATGTATTAAGTATCTCAACCAACTAACACTTAATAATGAAAATGTTTTGGAAATCCTTGAAGTTGCCACCACCTTACATCAAACGGAATGTGTGGAGAAGTGTATAGACTTCTTACAAGAAAACACTGATGCTATTATTCAGTCAGCTTACTTCCCTAAAGCAAGACGTGACACTATATTGACAATTCTTCAACTTCAGACTGTTACACTAAGCTCTGAAATAATGCTTTTGCATGCAATTGCTTTGTGGTTACGTCACCAAAGCAGTGAAGAACGAGATATTTTCTTATCCACCATGAATATCATGGATTTTGTTGTAGATGAATTTATGGATTTTATTTCACATTACCCTGGATTTTTTACGGACTCTGAAGTTGTAAGTATCCTTGCTAACTTAAAGGGAAATGGAATTCGAGAACTTCCTGCATTTTGCAAAGTACAGCCTAAAAAAAGAACATTAAAATATCCAAATATCAAAGAAGTTAATTCTGAAAATGTAAGTACAATTTCTTGGCTTTTAATTCCTATTGTTCCAGAATTATATGCAAGCAGAAAATATCATATTTCTTTAAACTTTGGGGAGGGAGGGAAATGCAAAGTTTTTAGAAGTCAGCATCTTAATGAATTCAATCTAACTAAATAAACTACATCAATCTTGCATTAAAATTTTCATATTTTAATAGTGGAATTATGATCAGTGATATGTAATTATTTATTTACAAAATAAATGCAAATTTATATGTAAAATTTTCCAGTGTTAACAATTAAATGCAAAATATTTTTTATGAAATATTTTGAATGAAAATTAAAAATACATATTTAAAATAACTCTTTTAATTTGTGTGACACTTACTACCCAGTGGTATGCTGCATATTATCCCTGTTTCCCTCATAAATACATCTACTGCCCATCTTCCTTGTGTACATCTTCTCATTCAGCCAGTTTGGTCAAGTCGCAAACTGTAGTATTGTTTCCTATAAGAATAAAACATAAATATTTTTGACTGTTCTGTTTTATCAAAATCCTGAACTGTATTGCAAAACATAAAAGCTGTATGCATCATTAAATGAAACAGCCAGACAGAAACTCAACTGCCGAGTTTATTTTAGCAAATAACATCTGATTTGAAATTTTTCTTATATAGTGCTTGAAAGCAAAATCCATTTTAATGCAGTTAGAAACATGTTGTGAAGCTGAAGTCATCCTGTAAGAAATGAAGATATTCCTCACATATATATTGTAATGGTGTGAGCGGATAGCACATCCAGCTAGCACTTTTAGAAGATCTGTGATTTTGAAACGCAGTGAAGGCAAAATTGATTTGCCATGTTTCCTGCATTAAAAATATTAGTAGTATCTAAAACCTATCTCAGGAATATTACTATATGTAGGTAAAAAAAAAAAAAAAAAAAAAAGTTTTAGATTTTAAATTACGTCCAAAGGGGCGTTTTTTAACATTTTGTGTGTTATCTTTCTTTATTAAATATCATGTTCCTCGCACTTAAACCATAAGATCCAGTGCAACAGCAATATCGCAAAATAGTTTTAAAACGAGCATATCTTTAGAATTTCCAATACAGAGACTCACGCGCTGGAGATAAAAATGTTTTTTCTGCACAACGTTGCCATTGCTTGCTTTGAAATCCTTGAGTTTGTTAATCAAAAATTCGTCAAAGTTTTAAAAAATAGGAAATCGATCATAAAACAAATTTCAAATTTGGTCTTCCACATGCTCATATTCGTTGGAGGATTACGTTATTCAAAATTCGATGACTCTATGTACCATTGTTTTATAACAATACGAGAAATATACATACATTTATGCAGATTTTTCATTATTTAATTTCTTCAAATATAATGCAGGACTCTAACATTTTGTGGCAACAGTTTGAAAAGTGAACCGACGTTTATGAGTCCAACGCAAAATGCCAAAACGAAACTAATAGTCCTTCGGGATTCAAATCCCTTTGGACTAAAAATATATATATATATATATATATATATAAGTATAAATAAGATAGGCTGTTACCAGCACATGTTCTGCTTCCAATTCCATGTTTTAAGTAGAAAAAAGCTTTAAGTAAAGTGTTACGTATTAGTCATTTGTAAGCAAAATCTAATTTGTTTTTCCAATAAATAGAAACATTTCTAATGACCAAATTTTAGATTATATTTTACTAGGTATAATTACCCATGTGTAAAATCTAGTTTTTCTAAATGTATACTAACATAATCAAATGTTTTTTTTTCCTGTATTTCTTTTTACTAGAAATTGTATTTTATTAAACAGTTGAATAATATATTATTTAAATGGTTTTAATTAAAGAAAGTGAAGCATTTATGATATATGTAAAATAACTACTTTGAAATGAGTACCATAATTTAATTTTGTTCTGTGTTATTTCTATAGTATCAACAAATCTAAATTCAGACACAATGACATGCTGATCTGAATACTAATTCAGAAGTCAAACAACAGGGGTGGAACGTTGAGGCGCGAAATGAACTGGAAGTTGATCTGTCAGCACAATCCTTATCTTCAGCGTTATATTTTCAAATTTTCAGAGGACTAGTTTCGATGGTTTTACAGAACCACCATCGTCAGCTGCAAAAGTGCAAATGAACGAGATAGGTTATAATGATCAGATAAGATAAGAAGGGACCCCATTCTGGATATGAATTCCTGGGGTATTTATAGGATTCCTTGCCAGTGCGGTTTAATTTACATTGGCCAAACTAAGAGAGCCATAAAATTTTGCATCAAGGAACATGAGGCATATGTTTAAAAAAAAGGAAATACGAAAATCTTCTGTTGCCCAACATTGTTGGTCCAAAAATCACACTTTCAATTTTTCTGCTGCCAAAATTATTCAAAAAACATCTTCCATTGGAGAACTGGATTTTCTAGAGGCATTTCACATTCAATCTTTCTGTTCTAGTTAATGATCCTAATTCCAATCCATCTTGGCCTTCGGCCTTTAAAGAAATTATGTTTTAGTTCTGGTTTCATCAACAGATGGCACCACTAGCTTACTTTCTGTCCAGGCTTTCTTATCTTATCTGATCATTATACCTATCTTGTTCATTTGCGCTTTTGCAGCTGACAATGGTGGTTCGGTAAAACAAATATAACGTTGATTTTTGTTGTTTGACTTCTAAATTAGTAAATCTAAATTCATTTAGATCTACATGTATCTCCATGATATTTAGGTAACAGTAAATAGTGTTCATTACTTTTTGGAATAGCAGCTGAATAGTGACTACCATGCACTCTGGGATCAACAGAAATAGCCTTAGTATGTGCTACTTATTAAGCTCTTATATTGATTCTATATATTTTTCATGGAAATCTATTAAGAGTTCCAAAAAACGTACCACTTACAGTTTATCATATACAGTCAAAAGTCTTTAATCCGGACGTCCATAATCCGGAATGATCTATAATCCGGACCTCAAAGCTACAAACTTCCTGTGCATACGTAAACGCATAATCCGTTTATGCATGTGCATAATTCCTTTATGCATATGCATATGCGTTTAATGTATAATGGTCGATATAAGCTAAGCTAAAATTATCTAATTATCTCAGTTAATCTTGCAGATTGTGTTGTTCCTTAATCTTCGAATTTGATCCAGCTTATTATTTTTTGCAGACTGTCAGAGCAATTTTATAAAAGTAAGCTTGAACTTTCGATTATGTCAAAAAGAATTTCCAATTCTGGAGCTGCCAAAGGATCTACAAAGCGAGAGCATGTTTCGATGTTCATCAAACAAATGTGGAATTGCTGCAAAAAATGGATAAAGGCATATGCTTTGTTTCTCTAACCATTCCGAAATCTGTTTACCGATTTCATGCTGCTATGCGGGGATGGGGGTGGAACGTTGAGGTGCGAAATGAACTGGAAGTTGATCTGTCAGCACAATCCTTATCTTCAGGGCAGATGTTTTTATTTTATTCGGCTTATAATTCCCTACTAAATGTAGTATATCATCTCAATGTACTCCGTCTTTGATATAATTTAAATCAAATTCCTCGTCATTATAAATATCACGAATACATATAAAATAGTTTTCTGGTTGCAATTTTCTAATTTCGACTGTGCATAATGTATGCTTTACGCATGCGTGCATTGAAAGAAATGTTTATTAAAGTAAACAAATAAATATTAAGCTTTTTTTTTTTGTAAATTTTGATACCCTTTAGATCATAATTGCTCTTTATTTCATAAATTACGGTTTCATATTTTTAATTTTATTATTTCTGCATGCCGTCTTACCAGATTTAAATTGATGTATAATCCGGAAAAACCGATAATCCGGAATTGCCGAAATCCCAATGAGTTCGTAAAGACTTTTGACTGTATAATTAAAATCTAATATGCTGTTCTCAATCATGATTATATATGCATCGTATATGCCAGGGGTGGCCGATCTGTGGCTTGCGACCCACATGCGGCTCTTTGAAGTATTATTTGTGGCTCTCGATAAATGTACCCGAGTTCCCTTTACATTTTTGTGTTATTATATTAAAAAAAATTATTATCGTTCCGTACGTGTTTCAAAATCTCTTTTAAATTACTGACAACAAATATGAAAGACTAAGTGCAACGTTGTAACAAATTTCATTTCCGTCTAAGTTAAGAATGATATGACTCATCGAAAACTGCGTGAACGAACATAAACAGTTCTGTTCGGCGGATTTTCTTCCCCTTCGACTGCCTCATGAATTATGAAAAACATATGGGAGTCAAGGCCTTGTCCGGCCGATTGCTTCTCGACGAATGACGATCTATGTATTCGACCGACTCTAGACCGATTTTGAATTTGTAAACTTTCATTGCAACAGACAGTTCACATTGTGCTCTGGAGGAAACAATTTGCGTCATTCTTGTTACAGATATAATTTGTAATCTGGAATTTTTGGTAAGTTAACTATAATTTGTTTCATAGTATGTAACATGTGTTGTTATTGTTTTAATAACACAAAACGTGTATTTTATAAATTTCTTTATTTATTTCCAGTTCTTTTAAAAATATGACGACAGAGGAAAAAAAAAAAAAAAAAAAAATGGGTGGAAGAAAATAGAAGTTTTAATAATGAGTGGGAGGAGAATTTGTTTTCTTTCTTTCTTTCTTTCTTTCTTTCTTTTTTTTTTTTTTTTTTTTTTTTTTTTGACAATAACGGAAAAGCATTATGTGTTATTTATAATTCTACGATAAAAAATTATAAAGCTAGCAATTTACTTCAACATTAGGAAACCAATCATCCTCAGTTTTCTAATCAGTATCCACCAGATTAAGATCAGGTAAACTTGCTTCTTTAAAATCAAATTTAAATACACAGCAGTCAATTTTGATGACCTTAGCAATCAAGTTAATAATGTAGCTGAAGCTAGTTTGCTTATTGCCTGGAATGTTGCTCATGCAAAATGCCTGTATGGAGAAAGAGAGTTTATTTATTAAAATTTATTAAAAAAACTTGGAAGGTGTACTTAAAGTTTTAGATACAAATAATTTCACACACAGTGCACAAAGTTGTTTTGCAATCTCGAGAGGGTCTCGAGACACACAACCGAACGACGCATAACTGCAATTAATACATCTCTTGAATATAATTTTAAAAATGATTTGAAGAACTGTATTGCATTCAGTTTAGCCCTTGATGAATCAACAGATATCACAGATCTTCCGCAATTAGCAGTTTTCATATGTTTTGTTTCACCTGACTTCATTGTTAAAGAAGAATTATTAGATTTAGTAGCACTTCAAGAGTCAACCTGCGGTGTCGATATTAAAAATGCATTAGCTTCCATAATGAAAGGTTTTGATGTGCCTCTTAATAAACTTGTAAGCATTGCAACTGATGGAGCTCTGGCAATGCTGGGTTAAAAAAAAAAAAAAAAAAAAAATCGGTCTTGGTGGGCTTTTAAGAGATGATTCTCAAATTCCACAATTCATACCAATTCAGGATATCTTGTTACAAAATATTTAAAATATCCTGATGTTATGAAAACAGTGTTACACATTGTAAATTACATTCGTACCAATGCAAAAAAATCATCGACAATTCAAAAATTTTGTTGAAGAATTAAAGGACGAAGAACTTCCAAATGACATTAATTTCTTTTTCATTGTTAGATGGTTATCTAGCTACAACATATTAAATCGATTTGTAGATTTGTTTGATCCGATAACTGCATTTCTGAAAGAAAAGGAAATAAGTCTGCGCCGATTACTGAATTTTAATCAGAATCGAAGTATCCTGAATTAAAAAAGGCTACTAGTCGAATTATTTAAATATTCGGAACAACATACATATGTGAATCATTTTATTCCCCCTTTAAAATTCGTGAAATCCAAACAATGATCAGTATTAACTAACCAGCATCTGAAAGAATTACTGAGAAGTGCTGTCATCTATTATTCACCAAATTTTAAAGAATTATCAAGTGAAGTAAAATAAATGTGTTTAATTTTTAATATTTAAATTCAATGCACATATTTTGTACTTTTATTTATGTTTTCAATAAATATAATTTTCTGTAAAAAATTTTTTTAATACCTTTTTTGCACACCTTTTAAATACGTATTTAATTGTGGCTTGCGAAAAATTTCAAATTTTGAAAAATGGCTTGGACTATCAAGGAGCTTGGCCACTCCTGGTATATGCGTATACAAGTTTTAAATGCTAAATATGAGAAATCTTGAATTATATCATAATAAAATTTTCACGAAAATCTATTCAGAGCTTCAAGTAAAGTATCATTCCTGGTTATCAATTTTAGCTAAAATCTGAAATTTCCATTAATATAAAAGTCTTAAATATTTAAATTCTTGGATTATACTTTAAAGAATTTTCTATGAAAAACTATTATGGGATTCAAGTAAAATATCATGTCCATTAGAAACTGTCGTGGATTTCAAGTAAAATATCATTTCTGTTTGTTCAATTTCTCTCAAAAATATAATTTTTGGCTGTCCGTTAAATCTGTTGTGGGCTTCAGATAAAGTTCCAGTTATGGTTCTCCAGTTTTACCCAAAATCTAATCAACTCCTCATACTAGTGCAGAAAGCCTAGATATAGAAAATAGAAATTTCATATAAGAGTTATCGAGGGTGAATCAAACTTTATTCGAAGTTCAGATTTGGTGCGTGAAGGTGCAGTTACTCCTCCCTACCTATTTTTTGACTTCGCTGATTTTCTTGCGTTTTAGTGTATGTGTCATATGTTTGATCATATAGCCTGGCTCAGTAAAAGTAGGTGGCTAGTGTAACTCTGATTCAAAATCCGGTTTACGATCACGTGCAGTGCTGATAAGGACCACATGTTTCTGAGATTCCTTTGCCAATGCTTTATTTTTCTTCTTTTTTCCCCTTTTCTCATCAGGAGAACAAAATTTTGCTCTCCTGATGAGGAGGGACCTTTAGCTGCCCTTGAAATCGATTGAGTGTTTTAATATACTTACGCTAAATACAAGGTTGTTAATGCGATTTTGATTGTCACATTGGCGTGTTTCTCTCCTATTCTATAATAAAAACATGTTGTGGGGAACCCCAATTTGTGTTTATTCACTGAAAACTCACTATCAAGTTTTTGGACCAAAAACATTACCTCCCTTACCTATGTATATATGTTAACAGGATGTATAAAAATAATATACACATTTTCAAGAATAGCAATGGGCTTTGAAAAAGTTATTTTTGCATTCTGAAAGTATTTAGTTTCACAATAAGAGTTTGAAAGAATGCTTTAATAAGTTATTTCCTTATATATAGATGATTTAATGAAATATGCATTATAGCCAATAAATTTACTAATGTTTTTATGATCATTTTTAATGTATAGTAATAACACAAAATTATTTCAGTTATAAAGTTGAATATGATAAACCTGTTTTTTAAGAAGTTTTTAAGTATATGAAATGTAAGCAATCTGCATGCATAATTTATTTCAGGGAAGCAGTTGTTTGAAAAATATATTTTTCTTTCTAAGGTTATTGATGAAAATGCAATAGAAATTACAGTTACTAGTAATTCCAGAAATGGAAAATATCAAAGTAAGTATTTATATCATTTAAAAAATTTTTGCCATAATAAATAACCTTTGAATATGTAGATTAATTAATATAACGTCATCTATTTTAGCACTAAAAGAATTTGCCATTAATATTATTTATATTCATCATTTATTATTAGTTTTACAAATACCATCAAGCACATAAATACATGAAAAGTGACAAAATTTTTAGATTTTAACCTATCTTTTTCCTCTGATATGATAAAAAGAAAATTGTTGTTGTAAAAGGATAAAAATTTTATGTGTGTCTACAGTGGGCTCATCTTTTACTGATGGGCTTTGTTTTTGTCTATTGACCTTTATTGCCATTCTTTAAAAATTCTTACATAAAACTCATCATCAGCTTTAACAGTTGAATTCCCAGTAATCAGTTAATATACACTGAAGTGCCAAAACATTATGACCACCTATTCAATAACATGTCGCGTGATCTTCGTCCTGCAGAGCAACTTCAACTTGCCTTGGCATGGATGCCCCAAGTTCTTCATAGATGACTGGGTTGTACTTAATGTCTAAGTAGCGGTTATGCAAAGTACAGATATTCCGGCATGCTGGTGTTTGAGCTCTGAACTGCCCCTCCATTGAGTTAAGATTCTGCAGGTTATGTGGCCAGGACATTAATTGAAATTCATCCTTATGCTCTTTGAACCACTCCAACACAGTTTGAGCCTTGTGACATTAGTCCTTGTTCTGCTGGAATTCCGTTTCCAGCTGGGAAGACAGATGCCATATTAGGATGCAGCTGATCTGCAATTATGTTCAGATAGTCCACAGCCTTCATTTTCTGTTCTACCACAACTAAGGGTCTCCAGAGCAGCCTATAGGAACATTTCCCAAAGCATAATACTACAACCACCAGCCTGTGTATGACTTGCTGTACAGTGGGGAGCAACTGTTTGCCTGTAAGATGGCCTATTCTGACACGACCATCAACGTGATGAATGAGAAATCATGATTCATCTGACCAGGCAACTGTTTTCTACTTATTCATGGTCCAGTCTCAATTGGAAAGTGACGCTTGGTCAACAGAGGCATACGAGTGGGATGTCTCCTGTGCAGTCCCATATCCAACAGTGTTTGCTAAACTGTGTGTTCCAAAACACTTACTCCCGGGCTGCTAGCTGAGCCACTGTCTGGTGCCGATTTTGCTGTACCAAGAGGGAAAATCTCCGACGTCCCTTTTCTTTGATCACACGGGGATGTCCAACACATTGGCTTCTGCTGCTAGTTTCACTGCCATAATATTGATGTAAAATGATAATAATATTGATATAAATGATGACAGACAATTCATTTTTAAACTGATGAGCTAGTTTTGATTTTGATGAATACCATGAACATGTATGTTCTCTTCTTTGTGATTTTGTTTCTTAGAAAATGTTTCTTTTTTCTTACTTACTGATTGTAAAAATAGAGCATGCAATGTAACAAACATATTGTCAGCATACAAACAGATATAATATATGCTGACCTATCGTTTATGTTATTGGTAATGTTTTGAAAGAGTGTGCTATTAATAGTTAAGATTTGAAGGCGGTGAAAATTACACATGGGCTTGGAAACAGGCCATTTGAAGTCCTTGACCCAACGAACTTGTTGAATCAATTGTACTTTTATTAGACACTATTCCAAAAGTTCATGGACAGAGATCACTTTCTGAAATCAGAGTTGTTATAAAGTTTGATGTGGATCTTGTTTTCAAAATAACTGTCTTCACACTTTCTTCTATTCACTAGCTTCTCAATCATGAGTTTCACATCATTTTTAAGGTGTAAATATAAGATAGTGGATGTGATAGCTTTTGCTTCCTGGTCCATGTTAAAATTTCTCTCTTTAACTTTCTTAAATGTGAAGAGTCTGGAATTTGCAGCCAGGCTGCATGATCTGGGTCTGGGTATTGGAGAAGGGACTAAAGACTGCCAACCAGTTTTCTTATTTACTTTCATAGGCTATGTTGCCAGATGTTATTAATATGATACTGACAGTGAAATCATACTCATAAAGCAGTTCAGGTCTTTTTTTTTTTTTTTTTTTCCAGTGAGTTTTCTTGTAAAATGTTAGCATAATCTTCTCCATTTACAATTTATTTCTTAACAAGCTGATACTGCCGTACTATTTTATGGATATTAAAAAATAAAATCAGTATTATAATTTATTTGAGAAACCAGGTGGGTAAAACCTTTTGCAAGGCAATAACTTGCATTTCTTCAGTATACTGGACTGCTGCTTTGATTCAAGAACTAATTGTCTGTTGCAGGACTCCTAAAGGTGATAATTCTGTTCAGAATTCTGGATCATTTCTCACTCTTGGAAAAAGTTTGGCAGTAATACATGTGAATGAAGCTTCTGTTGTTCACTTGATGAACATGATAGGTAATCTTGCTCACACATGAAATGTTTTCAAGTACGTTTTAGTAATATTATGATGTTTAGTTATGCCATCATTAAGCTGATAGTTCATGAACCAATAAATCCTCCCTTTTTTCAACAATGCCTCCGATTTCTCAGTGTTTCATTTATTTACAAATGTAGATGTGTGCTCACTTCTTGGCTTAACCTGCACACTGCATTTGCTTATCCTTAATGCTTCCCTCACTTAAACACTTTTTATCTACCTATTTCTTTTTCGTGATATGCCAGTTTGATCATATCAGATGTTTCATGGGAATTTTTTTCTATATATTGAGCAAAATTCAGGAATATTTCATGTAACTTTGGTAACTAATAGTACATCTGCCTCATTTGCCACCATAATACATACTACAGTTTGATTTTTGCAGAGGGCAAATAAATGACAGCTGTGAATTGCCACTATTCGCATTAACAGAACATTGTACAGGCAGCAATCATAGCAGCAACTTTACAGACCTCAGTTTTAGGAGCAACAAAGTGTATCTGGTCCATGAACTTTCAAAATAGGTCTCATCATTAGAATTCAGTTAATTTTCCATTTTAGGAAATTGATCATTTTTTAATTAGAAGTCTCTTCTTTTAAGAAAACACTGAAGAAAATGATTTGGAAAACAACTTTTCTGATGATGATACACCCACTGCTTTAGGGAAAGATCTTGTGAGTATAATAAATAATTTATATATTATATGCCTATATAACTTAGTACTGTTAGTAGTTCAGCAATTTATCCACAAAAGATAATGTTACTTAAAAATGCTTAAATATATATATATATATATATATATATATAAATTATTAAATAAATTTGAGTATTTCCCTTATAAAAAAAAAATTCAATTTAAAAAAACTGACAGATTTCAGATTTTTTCCCTTTCTTTTTTAATGTGAAAGCTTTCAAATTTTATATTATGCCCAAAGGAGCATTTATTATACACATACGAATTTCAAGAGCATATGGGCTCATGTCTCATCGGGATAAAAATATTTAAAAACAGCATATCTTTATATTTTCCAATAGACAGTCTTGCACACTGCAGATAATTTTTTTTTTCATGCAGTGTTGCCATGTTGTGTCTGTTAATTAAAAATTCGTTAAGTATTACAAAATATGAAATAGGTAATTTAGTAAAGTGTTAGCTGCTTAGAATTTATGCACAACAGACAGTGTTACTTAAAAATGCTTATATATATAAATTATTGCAATTATTAAACAAATTTTAGTATTTCCGAATGGAAACAAACCTAAAAAAGTTTTAAAAAAATCTGAAAAGAAAGCTTTTGAGTTTATATTATGCCCAGAGGGGTGTTTTTTTACACACATACACGTTGGGAGAGCATGTCTCTTTGGGATGAAAATATTTAAAAACAGCATATATTTATAACTTCCATAAATAGTTTTCAAATTAATAATTTCCATACCATAGGTTTTAGACAATCTCACACAGTAGAGATAAAATGTTTTTTTTTTTTTTTTTCCTTTTCCCCCCATACTGTGTTACGACTGCTTGTTTTGGAATTGTTGAGTTTGATCATAAAACATTTGTTAAGTTTTACAAAATATGAAATAGGCAATAAATTTGGGCTGCGGGTGCTCATATTTGCATGGAGAACTACGTTATTGAAAATTTGATTTTGAAAATTATTTGAAAATTTGGCAAAAAAAAATCTTTAGGTACCATAGTTTTTTCATAGTGCGAGAAACATACCTACATTTATGCAAATTCTTCATTATTTAATTTCTTTAAATATAATAGAGGGCAATAATATTTGGTGGCAACAGTTTGAAAAGTGATACAACCCTTTTAGTGATTCTGTGATTCTCTTTAGTGAAGAAATAAAATTTAATAAAGATTGATTTAGTCTGTCTCTTTCATAAGGGAATAGACCAGATGAAATAAATTTGTTTGTGTTTAATCATATTTCTGACCCATATTAAACAACGAAGAATTAAAAAAATTTTAATTACAAAATTTCGTTAGAATAATAAATCAACTTTATAATTAAAATTGATGTAGTTTAATATCAATTATTATTAATTTCTATTTAAAAATAGCATTAAACTTAAAAAAAAGAATTAAGTATTTTTTATTTCTACTGAAAAGAATCTGACCCCATTAAAACTGATCACCCACTTTTATTTTAATTATTTATTTATTTTTTTTTTGCGAGAAATAAAAGCCATATTGGGGGCAGCTTATATTCAAGCAATGAACAAATATTTTGTTATTGTTCATTATTTTAAAGAAAATTTCATTAATTGAAATTTCTTCACTTTTTAGTGTTTGATGCGGGTCAGAAATATTACTGGATAAAAAGATTTATTCTGTCTGGTCTATTCCCTTGAGAAAGAATCAAGCTAAATTGCCTTTATGTATTCTTCTTCCCATCATTAACTTATCAATTAATGAATTTTTTTTTGTACCAATGAAACTATTTTTGACTTTGTTAGTGGATTGTGAATAGATTTAACTGAAATTATTAATGATAACATTATTAATGGAATTATTAATAACAGCATTAATAATGACATTATTAATGGAATTATTAATAACAGCATTAATAATGACATTATTAATGCTGTTATAATGACATTTTAAATGAATTTAATTCAAATTATTAATGGAGTTTGAAGTAATCATTTTTTATCCAATGCCATTGATGTTTTCAGATTTTTACTTTATGTTTGTTTCCAAATGGAAAGTACTAAAATTGATTTAATTATCGCAATAATATATGAATTTGATTGTTGCTGCAAATGTGCAAAACTAATTAGTTATTATTAAGAATCCAAAAAAATTCTATTGTAAATTATAAGATTGTTCAAATATGACTGGGATTAGTTTTTTTTTTGCCAAAACTTTCATTGGAATGGAAGAGTTGAATATATGACCTTTTAAAGTACATCCCTCTGCAGTCGGTGTATTTTTGCTGATGTTCTGGAAGCATTTTCATGCTCTTTTCATGGAAGCTTTTCAGTTGATTGTAAAGCCACGCCTGGATATTAACAGTGATGGCATCATTAACCACAACAGCATGCCTCCCAAGTGGGATTTAAGCTTGGGACTTGAAATAGTGGATTCATGTTTCATTGATAGTTATTATGGACTTCAAAAATTCATATTCTTCATCTTCAAACTACCATAGGAGAGAACTGATGGTTTGATGTGCATCTTTTTGTTCTTGTCTGTCAGCATGCATGGAATCCTCCAGGCATACACTTTGCCATAGTGTAAATGATTTTCATAATGGTTTCTGCACTGATGAAAGTTCTATGATAGTGATGCACCTATTCTCATGAATAACCCCATTCACAGGATTAATGTTTATGAGGGTGACAAATGATTTTACATCTGAGTGCACATATGCACATGCTTTTGCATCTCAATGAAGCACTCAAACCACTCAAATACATGGGACACACTCTTTCTTGTCCTATCTAGGGAGACACTCTTTCTTGTCCTATCTAGGGAGACACTCTTTCTTGTCCTATGCTTGGAGTCTCTGCCAAATTTCTGATGACTCTATGTTTTCTTGAATGAGAAATTTGATCACAGTACTTTGTTCTATGCCAAGAAGCAGCTGTTGCTTGCTAATCACTTTCATGACTGCAAGGCACGACTGAGTGTATTCTAATCTGCAAGAGAGATAAGGGTGATGTAGCTGCTGTACTCATCCATGGATACACAGCACTGTGCATTGGTAGTGCTTGTAACAGCAACAGTCCCGTCATATTTGAAAACCCTAGTAAATTAAATTTTTTGCCCTTTATATACATATATATTTACATATGTACTTATACATATGTATATAAATATAGATGTATGATCTTAAATTCACTTAGTTGGAACTTGTACATTTATATACACATGTATATAAATGATATGTACGTATTTTGGCATCTGTTCCACAAAAGAATGTGATTTACAAATGCATTTAAATATGAACCCAAGTTTTTAAAAACATTTATTATGATGTCGCATACTTCAAGATAGTATGCATATTGATTGTAAGAACTTTTCTTTCTTTCTTATTCCCTTTCTTTCTCTAATATATATGATGATATTTGCGATATGAATTTGCTATGATAACTCAAGTGCATACTCAGGAAGATCTTTCTTTTATAGTATAATTCTTGAAAAGCAATTTAATAAGTATTCTAAAACTCAGTCTGTTTTAATCATGTTACATTAAATTAGAACTTTTAAAATCAAATTAATAATTCCTTTCATCAGTATTTTTAGTAATACACTATAAATACATTTGATATACAGGGTTATAGTATATCTATCGTAAATTAATTTATTTAGCTAATGAATTGCCTTTTAGGCTAGTAATATATTTTACTTATAGCTAAATAAGAATTTAAATAATTTTTTAAATGTATTTTGATGCTACCATATTTTCCCATCAATTGTGAAAGTTTGCAAAGTTCCCACTAAAGCTGTGCCAATGATTAAAGGGGAGGTTTCATGGAACAGATTCTTCTTTCACTAGATAATTGATAGATACAAGTATGGCATATGAAAGTATAAATAACTACAAATTCAAGCTTTAAGATTATTTGAATTTCTTTGCAGAAATTCATTGAAACTGTACCATTCATTTCCCAGTTAGCAAAAATCCCCACTGGAATACAAAATAAAATAAAATTATCACCTTTTTTATGAACTCAACATCACATAATTTCCCTTAAATACAAATTTATTTGATGTCATTCTGCTTTGATATGTTTTCAATTGAGTCTTTTTTTATTTAATTCCATAGTCTTTTAATGTTTTCATTATGCACAATAGTATAACTAATCCAGCGACTTTTAAAATACTTCACAACTTGCTGTTCTGTAGAAGGCAGGTCTCAAATTTTAGATCTTTTATTCAAAATGCAAGATAAAAACATAGAAATAGCAGTTAATTTAATAGCATTCTTATTAAAATTAACCTAGTTACTGAAGATCAAAGTTATGTAAAAAACAAAAGTGAAGTTCTGATGAGTATGTTTGTGATATCATACTTATCCATTATTGATGATACATTGCATTGTTTGGCAGCATTGTCAGAAATGGTAGATGACAAAATACATAAGTACTGAGCCCACCAGCGGCCGAGCGGTAAAGTCGCTGAACACTGGTAGTTCAGCCCGAGGTTCAAATCCCGCGAACAGGCTGGCTGCATGGGCGTTTTCATGGTTTTCCCCATGTGTAATGTGTATATGAGCCAGTTTCCCTTAGAAAGTCCTCCACAAAGGCATCCCTTCCCTTAGGCAGATAGCCCTAGTGTGCTTTGCCATAATTAAATAAACCAAACCAAACATAGGTACTGATATTTTTTCTCTATATAATTGTGATTTTTATAATTGATATACTGATATTGTCGAATGAAAAGTAGCAATTTTTTAACTGACATTTTTCATTCGACCGAGTTTGCTAAAATAACATAAGCCAATATTATCAGATCAAAGCTACACTTCACATCCAGGTTGAATATCAAAATGCTAAGAAGTGTCAATAAGCAATATAAACTGCGATATCTTGGATATAGAGGCACCTGACAGGTCTATATTTTTCATATATTACTGTTAGAATCTGCCTTGAAGCTCAAATTTGTACTTTTTCTGGGTGACTTTTTAAAATGTGTGACTAAATAAATCATGTGCCACATTCTACAATTCTGATGTTAGAAGGTGTGTGCAGTGTCAAGAATGAGTCAACTTCCTCATTAGACTTTGTTGAAGATAATGGAATTAGTATAGAAATGACATTTAGATTCAAATACAATACCCATTATTTTTCTTTTAAGTGCATTCATACAGTGCTTTTAAATTAATAGATCATTATGGTTTGGAATCCTTTTCAAAAAGGTATTTCAGTCTAATTAAACAAAAATTATGCTAGAAAGAAAGAGTATTTACATTCGTTTAGATATTGTGTGTATTATTATTTTCACATTATGTGCATGCAGTCCAAAAACAAACTGCAGTTAGACAGATCAAACTGCTGTCACATATATACTGATTATTTTCATAATTAATATGAATTTTTGAGAATATCTATTGAGAACACATGCTTTGTATGTGATATTTCTTACAAACCTAGGAGTGTTATGTATTTATTTTAAGGCTTTATTTTACAGAAGTTGTGTTTTATATTGATTTGTTTTTGCAGCTTGTTTGTGTATGGGGAAGGCATGAAACTGTTTAATTCATTTTTGAGTTCATTTATTTCGATAGTCCAACTAATCGTCAAGTTGCATTTCTATTATTTTTTCTTGAATTTCAGTTGTTGGTTTTTCATTTAATATCCCCCCTAGAAAGTAGGATATTTTTGTAATGTAGTTCACATGAGAAAAAAATTTTATTTTTATTGATTCAGAAATAATAATAAATTTACCAATTTATAGAAAGAGAAGTCGCATACTTCGGCTAGGGCTACAGATGATCCAGTAAATTGGTCTGTATAAGTCAGACTAGTTACCTGCAATCTTATAATCTGTTACTTGTAGATCCTAAAGAAGAGGTGAAAATGACATACCTTATGTTTAATTCACTTTGAACAGAAAGCATTTTTTTCTCCTGTTTCCTTATGGTTTAATTTGTCTGTTTGAAGGTATGGCATGGAAGTACAACAAAATTAGCAATGAAATTTCTAGATAAAAAATATTGGAATGTAGAAATTTTGTAAGACATTGTATCGTACAACAGCCTGCTCCGTTTAAGATCTCATTATTTAATATATTCAGACAAAATATTTTAATTGCAACTAAAATTTTTGCTAAAGAGGCACAAAAAGATGCTGAATATATTTTATGACTTTTTATTGTCAGAGGATTAACATAAACACCGTTTTTTTAAGATATTGTTTGGACAATATTTTAATGATTTGATTTTTTGTAGATACCAGAAGATTTTAGAGCAGGAGTATTTGTTCTGCTGCATGGTAATCTTGAATTGAAAAACATAAAAGGTAATATGATTTTTTAGAGCTTTTTCTCTAAAAATAGGAATTAAAAAACCCCCCTGTTAAAAATGTTATTTGATATTGTAGATTATGCAATTCCCTCACGTTTCTTATACATTTATATTTACATAACTTTCTTATACATAACTTATTATTATATGAATTGTTATATTCTTATAATTTATATGAATATATTCTAATCAAGCTATTAAATTTTTATGATATATTTCATATTATGGAAATTATTTAAGATATTTAAAAATTGATTTGTGATGCAAGATTTATTTCATAGAATTACTATTAATTTTTAACTTATAAAAAACAATGTATACAAAGTTATAGAAAAATGACATGTTACAGCTGTGAAGACAGTATATATATATATATGGATGTTGGTGAATCTTATGTGTGCTCCTTTTGATATAATATGTAAAAAATTTTCAAATTCCTAAATCTTTTTGCTGCTGGTATAGCAGCCCTGAATTATAAATAGGTTTGTTATATTCCTTGAATTCATTAATTCTTTATTGATAATAGCTATTTTTTTACCATTTGGTGTTATCTAATTGGAAGAAAAAACATGCTAGTGTAGAAATAAATGCTAGAGGAGGGGAGGAAAGAAAGAAACCCTAAGATTCACATAAATTTTGAATAAAATTCCATTGATTTTAAGATCAGTTTGCTTAATTTTTAATGTGATGCAATGTTTTTGAATTAGTGCAAATAATAAAATTAAATAATTTGATGGAATTCTTGCTGATATGACTGCAAAAGCTGAATTAAACTCAAACCTGTACACTAAAGTACATTTTATACTTTTTTGGATATTGGAAAACTTATTTAAGAAAAAGCTGATTCAATTTTGAATTAGTGCTAATTAAGCAAAAAAAAAAATAATATACTTTATTAACCCGTGAGCACACGCACCGGGTATCTCATATTCTTTGTCCCTTATCTCCAAACCTCTTTCCTGGAAATGGGCGAAACCTTTTGTAACTGAATTCAAGGTCACATTCTTGAAGCCGGGGAGTTCGTAGAGTGATTGTTTGAATACTTTTCTAGGAATTGTACCGTTTGGGTATGTGACACCCGCGTCTCTCAGATTTTCACGCTCACTTTCTTAGTTAGTCAGCATGGCATGGCATCAGGACGGAACAGAAATATGAAATTAAAATGATGGAAACTCATTAATGATGCAAGGATGCCTTTATTTTTAGAATGATTACAAATAAATCAAAAATTGACCATAGAGAAATGCCAGCGAGTGGTAGAAAAATGATGTAAAATACTTATATGCAGACCAGCCTAGATATAAGACAATGCCTGTCTGTGGTGCTTCTTCTGCTCTGAACTCATTTCATTGTCACAGTGTGCATATGATGATGTGAGCCATCATATATTCCAGATATGAAACTTATGGGAAATTTATAGAAATAGTTTTTTAAAAGCTAAATACTCAAGGTTAGTAGAATGGTCCTGTAAAAGATATAAAAATTTCTGTTTTAGGTTATTGACTCAAATATGACTCTTTAATTTAAAATTGTATCGATGAAGTACTAAATAGAATCTTTATTCTAATTAATCTTTGTCATTTGAAGACTGTTAAACAAATCATAACTCCTAGCAATCACTACAGACCACAAATTGTATTCATAAATAAGAAATTTATGACAGTTTTTCAGAAAATAATCTGAATGTCTGTGTTTACTTTTGAGGTAATTCTTTGTTTATGTCAGTTGTTCTCAATCTTTTTGTTCCATTGACCACTTTCACCATTGTTAGATCATTCCCCCCTCCATTCCCAAACTTGAAAAATACATATACATTTATTTTGATTTTTGCTTATTTTTTAATGGGATATATAAATTAAACAGCAGAAAAATATAGAGAATCTAGATAAATAACACGACCCGAATAAAAGTAGTTTTTTATATTCATAAACTAAATTCTTGACAGCAAAATAAAATGCTGACTGTATTTCTCTCTGGTTGTAAATCCCTGGGTTATATACTAATATATATTTTCATATATTTCTGTTCTTTGTGTAAATAAAATGATTATTTCTGAATCATTGGAATAATTTTGAAAAACAGTAAATTTTAAGAAAAATAAAGCCTCATCCTCCAAAGGACCCAAAATTTAAAAGTATTTTTGCTCATTAGTGTGTTACCAGTAGTGCCTAGTTTGTCATTACTGTTATGTATTAATAACTTAGTATATTAAATAATATGCATGCAATTTTGAAAATTGTTTTCATCAACTGTGAATGAATTTAATATGTGAGTTGTTAAATATAAAATAAATTTATAGATGTGAATTTTTCCAGTTTATTAAATATAACGTTGCTCTGTGTCTTAGATCTTCATGTTGGTTGATTAATTTCAAAATGCTGTAACTTTATAAATTAGTGTTAACAGTTTGTTGAAAACCAATCTGTAATTTTCTGAAGGTTTAGAAAATTATAATTCAAAATTAGAGTTGAGAAGCTAGCATGCTGTTTTTTTCCAATGAATTCCTCATGCCAGTTTTAGCAATTTTATCAGTTGATTGTATTGCATAAGATGACTTCTATCCAAGGCCAACTTTGAGCATATCTGATTCCCTTACTTTAGTTATTATTTATAACAAAAATTGCTTTATCATGTAAAATACATTGAAAATAGTATGTACTTTGAGAATGTGATTATGTGCACTGAATTGTGCCCACCAGCGGCCGAGCGGTAAAGTCGCTGAACACTGGAGTTTGGTCCGAGGTTCGAATCCCACGAACAGGCTGGCTGCATGGGTGTTTTCGTGGTTTTCCCCATGTGTAACGTGCATATGAGCCAGTTCCCTTAGAAAGTTCTCCACAAAGGCACCCCTCCCCTTAGGCAGATAACCCTAGTGTGCTTTGCCATAATTAAATACACCACTACACCTATGTGCACTGAATTAAACATTTATACTTGTTCTTAATAGTAAAGTATGGAATATAAATAACTGAGTGGAAGAATGGTTAAAGTTTTATTAAGTGTAAAATAATACTTGATGACATAGGAGTATATATAAGGGGAAAGATGTGTAAGTAGCAGATTTAAAAGTTATTTATAAAATAATATTGAAATAATACCAATTTCATGAGATATGGATGCAGTTAACATCCTGAAAAAGTCTTTTAATACAGTGCGCATAAACAGCAATATTGTACATCTTAATTTGAGACAGAACCACATTTTAAACTATGTGTAATGTTGCTCTAGTTACAGATTTATTGGCTCTGAAGATGCACTCCTTTAAATCTGTCGTAAGTGCAAAATTATGTGGCATGCAATTGATCTTTTATATCTTCTGAAAAGCATCAGATAATCTTGTGGTCCATTTTACACAGTAATTGAAACTTAGCATTATTGCAAACCATAGGGAAAAATGAAAAACTAGTTACAGACATGTAGGTTAAAAGTTGTCAAACTGAAACATGATGTACTGCATTGTATTTAATGGATTGATCACTTGTCAGTTATTTACCGGATTACATAGCAGTTGAAAGTAATGCTTAAGTCTGCTGAAGATTCACAAGGAACATAGTTCTAGTTATGAAAATTTTTTTATATCTGACATCGCAAATGAAATAAGTGTACTTGATGTATGCATATTTCGTTATATGTGAATTTGTCACATCTCAGTATTGGGAGTTTGAGGATCTTGCATCTTGGAAATGTTTCAGGTGAGTTCATGGGATGTTGTCTGTGGCATTTTCAGCAAAATAAATTTAAAATTAACTTGCCATTGATGTGTCTTTGAAAGTCTCAAGCAAGTGGTAAGTGATAACATTTTAATATGAATATATATTGTATATGCTTTAATTTTGCAATTTCCATTATGCTTATAATGCACACTTGTGATTATTGATGTTGCGCTGATTTAGAGATTTACAACTGTACAGCACAGAGCATCATAATGTTTAGTTCACACTGATATTAATGAGCCAAGCTTGTTAATGATGTTTTGCAATGCTTACAAGTTTCATGAGCTTCATCTTAGCAGATGTCTGAGAAGCAAGATAGTAATGACTAAAAACTTACCATACAAAATGAGGTACAAGTTCTTCTTTTTCAATTAAAATATAATGTCTTCCATCAACCTTAAAATATTCTTCCTTTTTGAAATTGTTTGTGCAGTATAAAAGTACTCCTTCACTATATTTACATTTACACTGTTTCACTTGTGTTTTGAATGGATGGCACTTAAAGAATACAATAAGCCCAAATTTGAAGATCTGATTCTTTGCATCGAGTTCTTGCAATAAAGAGGTGTTATAATCCATGATGTGAAATTGTATGACAAATTTTGCTATTTGATGTCATTGTCATACCTCAAATCCAAAAGCAAAGTCCATTAAAGGTTGTAATTAACAACAGTAGATGGTATTTATTAAATTTCATCCCAGTATTAATTGCATTTTGGAATTACTAAATATTTGTGAATTTTATTTTTGCATTCCTACTCACAATGCAAATGTTAAGAGGGTTTTCTCACTGATGAACACTCAATGGACCAAGGAATGGAGTAGACTGAGTTGGAGACAGTGAAGGTGGTAATACTCACATAATACAAACTTAGGAGTAAGGCATGCTTGGATTTTTATAGTTAATTATTAAGAAATGAAGAACTTTTTTCAAAAATAGGCAGCTCCAAAAAGTATGTTTAAATTACTTTTTAGTTAGATGTTTTAGTTAGAAAAATTATTTTAATGTTGAAGTTATTTTTCCTCACAATAAAGTTTTATATATCTTTAATTGAATTTTATTTTGAAATGTCTCCCTTCCAAAATAAATGATTTCCTTTTTCACTTTTGCATCTGGTGACCCTACAAAAAATCATACCAAAGGCAACTTTACAATTTCTTGTTTCTGTTGATATTAACTATAAAGGAGTAGTGTATATCCCCATGTATATTTGTAATAATTTGGGCTGGATTTAAATGTTTCTTTTTATTTCTTGTTAATCAAACATTTTAATAAGCCAACATAATAATAAATAAATCATTTTTTCCTGTATAATATCTAGATTCAGATCTTCTACCTATTTTCTGCCCCTAAGAACTGAATATCTATTTAAATATGTTTTAGAGCACTTTCTTTGTGTATTCATTATCTAAATGCACTCTGAGCTGAACATCACCACAAACAATATGCTGTTTTTTCCTTGCCAAACTTATTAGAAGAGTGAGTTTCAACTCAACGTGTTTTACTATGAGATCCAAAATATTATTTCTAACACAATGTTGTGCATAGTTCAATCAGTCAGAAATTATTCAATCAATTAGTCAGTCTCAGAACTGAAGATAAGAATTATTGCTTTCCTGGGGCTTAATCAAAGATGTTAAACATGATATTATATTTCCTGTCATAGGATTCCTTTCAACCACTCCTTTTAACTGACTTGCTTAGTTAATTTTTCAGGATTAATATCTTATGTTCCTAAAAGCAAATGGTGACTCCCCCTCCCTCTGTATATGTGAAAAAAATTCTCTTTTGATTTTTCTTGATAAGTGAAAAGCATATTAGTTCAATTCTTTTATAAAAGTGAAATTGTGTTAAAAGGAATTTCTGCAGCAAATACCTTCTATTTATTTGTTTTTAAATGTTCTTGAATAGGTAGGGGGACTAGCATTGTAACTGAAGTACTTTCTTGTACTATTCATCAGGCTTGAAAAAAGACTAGTAAATGAAGCACTGTTCTCAGGAGAACAACTAAAAGATATGTCAAAACTGTCTATGAAAAATAAAAAAATAGTTAAAAAACTTTATTTACTTATCCTTATGCATACATATTTCATGCAGCTTCATTTGCTTCAATTCTCCTTTTCCCAATAGATTAATACAAAATATTACTTATCTGTCGTAAAGCAAACTGATGCCGCCTTAAATTACATATTCATATGAAATAAAAGGTAATGGATGTATTGGATAAAAATTTGCGAATATTTTAGATTTATTCACGATTCGCACCTCTGAAGAAGAAAAGCATTTTTTTTTAAAGAATTGCTTTCAGTTCCAACTCTTATTAAGTTTAGCAATTTTTATGTTGCATTACCACTTTTGTGCAAAACTTTTGATAATTTTGAAAAAATTCATGTAGTCAGCGCAGTAATATTTTACAAAATGATCAGGAAATTAGTATTATTAGTAATATTTTTGTATGAGTTATTTTGTTTCTACATAACTTACTATTGTGGCTGAATTATGAATGTATATTCTCCCCTTTCTTTCTTAAAGTACAAATCATTGTATGTATTATTTTTCTAAATGGAGAAAAGTATTAAATGTTGCCATGATAGTTATAATGTTATAGTTTAAAATACTTATTGTAAAATTAATAAAATATGTACGAATTACTAAGTTTGCTTTCTATAGAGGGGTGTAATAAATATCTAGGCATAACTCTGTAAACCATTTCATAAAGTAATTTATCTGTACTTTTTAATAAGCAAGTCTTAAGAAAAGTGTTATAAATTTATTTTATAAAATAAGGTATTTATAAACAATTTATTTATGCACAATTTTTATTATGACAGTTATGTATAAACTAATTTATAAACAAGTCTGATTTTTTTTTTCCTTTGCAGGTGTAGAGTTTGTAGTAATTGATGAAACAGAGAAGAAAAATATTTATTCACGATTCGCACCTCTGAAGGAGAAAAGCATTTTTTTTAAAGAATTGCTTTCAGTTCCAACTCTTATTAATCCTGTTGCTTATTTTGAAGATTTGAGCTGCACAGGTATCAGTCATATGCTTAGGTGAGAAAATATGCTGTTGAACATGTTATTTTTGTAGAGTGCTTTATATTTATGATTCTCAAAGTATGGTTTGTAGAACATTGTAGGTCATAAAAGTTTTAATACAGTTTTTTTTTTTTTTTTTGTAAAAAGGGATAGTAAAAGTTTAGTGATAATAAAGCCTTACAGACACGGAAATAACATTTGAGTGCAGAAGTTGTGTCAACCTGTGATAAAGTTATTGTCCTGTATCGTATGAAACTGACTGCAGTGTCACTTGAGGCATTTGAAAATTAATGACCATATTACCAAAAACTATAAGATATACATATATATATAGAGAGAGAGTAAAAAAAGTCAGCAGCAATGTATAGAGAAAATATTTTTTTGAAAATTTTGCAAAAGGTTTCATTAAAAAAATTACAAAATGCCCCCTTTTTTTAATCATCTTTCATTAGAAACTTTTCTTTCATTGCAAATTGTTTTATTTTCTTGATATCATAGAATAATTGTAGACTTCCTGGATAAGAGGTTTCAAGGTTTATTTTTGATTTCAGCCCACTGTCTGTGAAATATATTTTATATCCTGATTAATGTTAAAAAATAATATATATGTGCCAATCCCAGTATTTATATTATGTTAGTTGGCAACAGTAGTGTTGTTGTCGCTTTGTTCCCATCTTGTGTGCATTGCTGTGGTTGCTTGCTTTCATGTAACCTAAATATTCTCAATATATACTTGATTTTTCAACTTGGACTGTGTCATTTATTTAACCCACAAATAATTGAAATTTTAACAAGTTATCAGCACGAAGCTCAAAAGGAAATGCCATTACGATCTTAGATTGAAGATCGCACCAAAGCCTAACCACGTTGTGAATCTGAAGTGAGCTGGATAACCATCCTTTGATGAAGTAAATAAAAATGTTTTTTGGCGACTTTAGCTTGATATATTTACTTGAAGAATAACATCTGAAGATTATAAAATGCCAAAACTAAATGGTGACAATTATCGCATATGGTGTATCCGTTCGCGTGCCCTGCTGGTGCAGAAGAGATGTTGGGAAGCAGTGGAACTCGGATATGGAATTAAAATGGAAGAAGCAGAGAGGAAAAAGAATGACAAAGCTCTTACCCTATTATTCCTCATAGGTTAAGGTACATTTCTAGATGATATCGGAGATTGTGTTAGAGCCAGAGATGCCTGGAACTGTTTAAAAGAGTTGTAACTTTGTAAATTTCACGGATGAATTTTCTCACTATACCACAACATTCTCTATGAAAGCCAAAAGTGAAGTACTAGAAAAATTTGAGGAGTACCATAGAAAATAAGTTTGTTGTCGGTTTGCTTCACATACTGCAGCTTATGAGAGAATTCTTCAACATAAATATGGAGCCAAATGAGTCTGTTCAGTCGTATCTAGCAAGATTAATGAATAAACAAATCAAATTAGCTAATGGTGGATATGCCTTCACAGATAGAGAAGTGATCCTAGTGGTGCTATTGGGACTGCCTAGAATTTATGAATCGCTCATCCTAAGTTTGGAAAAAGACGAAGCAAATTTGACAACTACGATTGTGAAACCAAAGCTACTCATAGAAAAGAAACGTATAGTTAGAAATGAGAGTTCAGGCAAAGTGTATCATGAAGAGCAAGCTCTTCACACATGCACTTAAAGTTTTGCCACCAACCAGAAGAAGCCTGCTTTTGGAAGACCCATGAAGATGCAGCTAAAAGGCCAAATGAAGAAGAAACTAACAGAGGAAGAAATACTAAATGATTCAGCTGTGGCCAGTGGGGGCACATCTCTAAAAATTGTGAAGAGGCCAAATATCAGAACCAAAACTGCCAAGACTGCAGTTGACCTAAAGACAAACATTGTACTTCTGGCAAATGAAGAAAAATCAAGGAAAAGTAATCTGTAGATTTTAGACAGTGGAGCTACAGAACACATGACCTCTGATAAAAGAAAATTTTCAGACCTTAAGAAGTATACATCTGAAGTTGAAGTTGCTAATTCAGAAAGAATAAAGGTCACTGGAATTGGAAATATTTCATTTTCTGTTGGAGAAGAAGATGGAGGAAAAAACATCACTATTGAAAATGTCCTATATGTTCCAGAACTAGGACAAAACCTATTATCCATTGGGGGTAGAATTGAAGAAAGAGGCTTAGTAGTAGAATTTGCTGAAATTGAAGTAGAATTTGCTGAAGGAAAAGCTCAAGTAAGAATGGAAACGCTCTTCTATCTGGTGAAAAAAAGGAAGACTGTACATAATCGAAGAAAAGATCACAACTGCCTACGTTACGAAAACTGAAAGTGCTGACTTTTGCATCGTAGACTTGGTCATCCACGCTCTTGTACAACAAAAAATATTGTCCCCATCGGCAGAAATTTGGAATCAACAGTATTAGTAAATGCACCTTGCCAAGTCTGTATCCAGGGAAAAATGAAAAGGAAGAAATTTCCAAAGGCCAGCTAGTACAAAAGCTAAAGACATTCCTAGAAGTTATACATTCAGATGTTGTTGTAAAATTTCTCCCCCTTCCTTTGGAGGCTCAAATTACTTTGTAACATTCACGGATGAATTTTCTCACTATACCACGGCATTCTCTATGAAAGCCAAAAGTGAAGTAATAGAAAAATTTGAGGAGTACCATAGTAGAAAATCTCCAAAACAAAAAAAATCAAATTCCTGAAAAATGACAATGGTGGGGAGTATATAAGGTTTGATAAGTACCTCGCTATGCATAGGATCCAAAGACAAGTAACTGTACCTGATACACCCCAACGAAATGGTTTGGCAGAAAGACTGAACCAAACATTGATAAACATGACAAGATGCTTACTTATCGAGTCTGGAGCAGATCACAGGTTTGGGCTGAAGCAATGGCCGCTGCGGCCTATCTCCACAGCAAGTGCCCATCTATGGCAATTGATGGCGATACTACAGAGGAAAGATGGTTAGGGTCTGGAAGCAAAACAGGCCACCTCAGAGTTTTCGGATGCAGAGGCTGGAGCCATGTTTGCTCACACTCAAGAGGAAGCAAGCTTGATCCTAAAGTTACAAAATGTGTTTTTGTGGGATATCCTAAAGAAGTTAAAGGCTGCAAATTGTATGATCTGAAGAAGAAACTTTTTTTTTTTTTTTTTTTTTTTTGTCAGCAGAGATGTCATTTTTGAAGAAAATGTTTTCCCCATAAAGCTAAGCAAGTGTGACAATCCTGCAGAAGAAGCTACTCTTAAAATTGAAGGCTTTAAATCAGAATATCCCTTGGACTACCTGAAACAGAAGCTCGTGACTCATCTCTAGATCAGATAACTCGTGATGTAAGTAACTCGAATGAAACCCAACGTCTAAATACCAAAATTGACCAAATTTCTGAAAGATGTCCAGACCTACAGCTTGAAAATACTCCAGATTACGAAGATGAAGGCTAATCAGTTACACAGATACAAGACGTTGCTAACAACCTAGACCCTGAAGTCCAAGCAGCAGCCAGAAAAATCCTACCCATGGGAGTGAGAGAGGTGAAAAAAGAAACACCAGAATTCCTAAACATTTCGAAGATTTTTATCTGTACAATGCCCAAGCGTGTATCCCAAAATGTGCATTCATGCCATTGGACCCCAGCATAAAATAAATGCCAATGGGGATAAGAAGGTAGATGAACAACAGTGGGAGGAAATCAAAGGAAACAGAAAGGAAGTCCCTTATAGACAAGCTAATAGGAAGTCTCTTTTATCTGACTTGTGGTACTTGCCCAGATATGGCTTCTTATTCTTCCACCTACATGAGTCAATTTAATGAAAAACACACTGAAGAACACTGGAGAGGTGTGAAGTATATTCTAAGATACCTAAAGGGAACATGACACAGAAAGTTGAAATTCCAGAAGACAGGTGAGCCACTTCAAGTCTACTCAGATGCCGACTGGGGAGGTGACAGACCTGACCATAAATCTTACAGTGGTTATATAATACTACTCGCAGGTGCTCCAATCTCATGGTCGAGCAAGAAGCAATCCACAACAGCTTTATCGTCGACAGAAGCAGAGTATCTGGTGATGTGTCACACTACCAAGGAAATCCTATGGATTAAAAATTTGATCAAGGAAATCTGTAGTGAATTAGCTGCTTCACCTCAAAAAGTGCTAGTCGACAACCAGGGAGCAATCTTCTGAGCCAAGAACCATGTTACTTCTGAAAGAAGTAAGCACATTGATGTTAAATTTCATTTTCTGAGAGACCTAGTGAAAGAAAATGTGATTGTATTTGATCATGTGCCATCCAGTGACAAACTCACTGATCTCCTAACTAAGCAAACCTCGAAAAGACCTTTACATGACATGAACTATGCCAGGACTTGCCTGTAAAAATGATCTCCTTTGAAGTTTATGACCGAACATAAACCATTATGGTTGTAACTGTGTAGAAACTTGACTTAAATCTCCAGAAGAAGCTAGAGATACAAAATTTTTCTTAATTATTTCTATGTAAACATTGTGTTTCCTAGTATAACTTAATATGTGTTCATTTAATGATACAATTCATAAGTAGAGGTCAATAGTGTTCACACGTGTAATAGCAGCTACATTGTTCTTTTGTAAATGTGTACAACCACTGCATGATTAATTTTTTATGGAAGCATGCAAATATCTTGCACATAGTGTGACTGGCAAGGGAGCATGTTAAAAATAATATATATGTGCCAATCCCAATATTTACATTATGCTAGTTGGCAACAGTAGTGTTGTCGCTTCGTTCCTATCTGGTGTGCATTGTTTTCATGTAACATAAATATTCTGAATATATACCTGATTGTTCAACCTAGACTATGTCATTTATTTAACCCATGAATAATTCAAATTTTAACAATTAATTCCTTTCCAATAAACATTAGGCTGGGGTATCATTTTCATTTTGTTTGTGCCAGGAGCAGAATCAGCACCATTCGGAAGAATAATGAATATCATATGGTCTGAAGAAAGGAGTAGAAGAGCTGAATCAACTGTAAA